ATAGATGGCAAATAAACACATGAAAAGATGTTTCACATCTCGTGTCACCAAGGAAATACAAATTAAAACAACAGTGAGACACCACCACACACACACCTATTAGAATGGCCAAAACCCCAAACACTTACACCACCAAATGCTGGTGAGGATGTGGAACAACAAGAACCCTCATTCATTGCTGGTGGGAATGCAAAAATAGTACAGCCACTTTGGCAGTTTCTTATAAAACTAAACACTGTTACCTAAATAAGATGTACCATCATGCTCCTTGGTGTTTACTCTGAAGAGGTAAAGCTTACATCCAAACAAAAACCTGCACATGGATGTTTCTATCAGCTTTATTCACCACTGTCAAAACTTGGAAGCAGCCAAGATGTCCTTCAGCAGATGAATGGACAAATAAACTGTGGTACACCAAGGCAATGGAATACTATTCAGTGGTAAAAAGAAATGATCTGTCAGCCATGAAAATACATGAAGGAAGCTTTATGCATTTACTAAGTCAAAGAAGCCAATCTGAAAAGGCTACATACTGTAGGACTCCAAATATATGACATTCTGGAAAAGGCACAACTGTGGACAAAGTAAAAAGATCAGTGGTTGCCTAGGGATTGAGGAAGAGGATGATGAGGTGGAGCACGGAGGATTTTCTGGGCAGTGAAATGATTCTGTGCGATACTATAATGGTAGATACATGTCACACATTTATCCAAATGCACAGAATGTACAACACAGAGAGTGAATCCTAATGTAAACTTTGGGTGATGATGTGTCCATGAAGGTTCTGGTGGGGGATGTTGATAAAGGCAAAGCTGTGCATGAGCTGGGGCAAGAGTAAAGGGGAAATGTCTGTACCTTCCCATCAATTTTGCTGAAAATCTTAAACTGCTCTAAAAAATATGTCTTCATTAAAAGTTAGTAAAGCACCCCCCAAATATCAACAGTAATTCATACTGTTACAAAATTAAGGAGAACAGCCACACAAGCATTTCAATACAAACAGAATAAGCATCTGACAAAACCAAAACCAATACCAATACATGACTTTAAAAAAAAGATCATTCTAAGCAAACTGGAAATAGAAGGAGCCTTTTTCAATTTAATAAAATACATTTACAAAAAAAAACTACAGCTAGCATCATACTTAATGGTTAAAGACCAAGCACTTTCCCCCTAAGAATGGAAAGAAAGCAAGAATCTCTCTCTCACCACTTCTATTTAACATTGTCCTAGAAGGTCCAGTGCAGTAAGGAAGAAAAAAATTTACAAGGTATACAGATAAGGGAAAAAGTGTAACAGCTTTTATTTGCAGATAACATCATGTATATAAAAAAATTCCACATGATCTACAAAAGAAGGTATTAGGCCTGAATTTAACAAGGTTACAAGATAAAAAGTGAATTTCTAAAATCAACTATATTTCTATGTAAAAGCAACAAACATTAAAAAAATGCTATTTTGTAAATTCTAAATTTTTTAAATGTTATTTACAACAGCATCAAAACCATGAAATACTATGGATAAATTTAGAAAAATATGTCTAACACATGGAAGATGAAACTGTAACATACTGCCAAAAGAAAGTAAAGAACACCTAAAGGTATATAGAGAGCTATCATGTTCACTGGTCAGAAGCTCAACTTTGTTAAAATGCCAATTCTTCCAGAATTTATTTACAGATTAAATACATCCCAGTCAAAATTCCAGAGGCTTTTTGTAGAAAAGAAGAAGTTGATTCTAAATTTAATAATGGAAATTCAAGGGCCCTAAAATAATCAAAATAACTTTGAGAAAAAAAGTTGAAGAAATTACCACTATCTGTCTTCAAAACACTACTATGAAACTACAATAATCAAGACAGGGCAGTAGTGGTAACAAGGACAGACGTAAGGTCAGTGGAAGACAAGATAAACATGGAGAACAGACATATAAATATACCTGGTCAATTAAATTTCCACAAAGATGCAAAAGTAATTCAATGGGAAAATAAAATATTTCCAATAAAGGATTCTGAACTGGATATTCATACAGAAAAAAGGGAACCTTAATCCTTCCCTTACACCATGCACAAAACTTAACTGAAAACATCACAGATCTACATTTTAAAATTTCTAGAAACACTGGAGAGAGTTTTCATAAACTCGCGGTGGGAAAAGATTACTTACATGGAACACAAGAAACACAAATTATAAAAAATTTCTTATAAATTGGATTTTGCCAAAATTAGAAGTTTTTGCTCCTCAAAGTGCATCATTAAAATTTTTGGAAAACCAAGTCCTCGACTACAAGAATATATCCGCAGTATACAAAACTGACAAAGAACTCATATATAACCATATAAGAACTGATTAATAGTAAGGCAATCTAATAAGAACTGAGGAAAAGATTTTAAATAGATACTTCAGAGAGAGATGGCAAGTATATGACAAGATGCTTGATGCCATTAGTCATCATGGAAATGCAAATTAAACTACAAAAATTAAGCACTACACACTTATCAGAACAGCTTGTAGGTATGGCACATGTTGGCAAGAATGTGCAGAACTGGAATCTTACACACTGCTGGTCAAAAAGTAAAATGGTACAATCTCTTTGGGAAAATGTGTGATTTTTCTCATAAAGTTGAACATACACAGATCATATGCCCCAGCAATTCTATTCAAAGTAAATGAAAATAAATGTCTACACAAAGAATGGGTACAAAGTTCACACTGCTTCAGTAATTAATTTAAAATTGGAATCAATCCAAATGTCCTTCAATAGGTAAATGAAATAAAGTGTGGGCGAATTCAGATAATGAAATGTTACTCAACAATAAAAACATGACATATACAACAAATGGACACTGTAATCACATTAGTGAAAATGCCACACTCAAAAAGATTACACACTGTATAATTCCATTAATATGAAATTATAAAACAGCCAAAACAAGTCAACAATGACAGAAACATCAGTGTTTGGACTGGAGAAGGGGCAGACTAACTGTAAGAGAACATGAGGGAATATTCCAAGAATATGGAGATGATGGCCTATACTCTGAATGGTGGCAGTTATACCTGTGTACAAATGTGTTAAAATACTCTGAACTTAGCATGAGTACATTTTCTTAAGTGAAAGTTATACTATAATACATTTTTTTTAGTTATAAAAAATCAAGTATGCTTTCACAGTTTAGTTTTTCAGGAGAGCTTACCTTATTGAGTGCAACAATGAAGGGACATTTTTTAGATTTCAAAAGGTTGATAGATTCAATTGTCTGAGGCTCCAAACCATGCATAATATCAACAACTAAAATGGCAATATCACAAAGAGAGCTTCCTCTGTTTCTCAGATTACTGTTTAAAAGAGGAAAAAGATGCACAAATAGAAATCTTAAAATTAATAATTTTACTTAAAGAAACTTAAAATATTACCTTGTTTGTAAAACCTGAACAAAAAGAACAAAATTAAGTACATGCATTAAATTCAAGTGCCATTAGCCCTTAACTTGCCAAATGCTTATCTGACAGTGAGTTGACATCAGTTGGGAATGAGTTAGTTCCAGAAGTTACTGCAACATTCCTACCAATTTTAGTGACTAAGTTTTCTGCGCTAAGGAATATGGCCAAGAGGCAACAGATAAAATCCACTTCTACTGGGTTTCGCAGGAGATGGACCAGTTATGTTAGGATTTGCTCTAAGTAGAAAAGACTTCCCCATAAAAAACAAGTATACATATAAACTACTACTGAATCAATAAGGCACACTTGAGGATTGGTAATTACAAGGGACCACGATCGCAAAATACTACCCACAGATTACAGTTGACCTTTTAACAACATGAGTTTGAACTGAACAGATCCACTTTACACGTGGATGTTTTTCAATAGATATACTGGAAAATTTTTTGGAGATTTGTGGCAATTTGGAAAAACTCACAAACTGCATAGCCTAGAAATAGTAAAACAATTAAGAAAAAAGTGTATGGCATGAATGCATAAATTATATGTAGATTCTAGTCTTTAATCTTTTACTACCAGGAAATATAAACAAATTATAAAAAGTTAATATTTATCAGTATTTAATCACACAAAAAAATATACATGGCACCAACTGCAATAAAGAGAAATGTTAAGAAAAAGTACAGATGCAGTATTAAATCACAACTGCCTAAATTAACTAGAGTACAAGCTGTACTACTATAATGATTTCACAGCCACTTCCTGCTGCTACTGCAGTGAGTTCAAACGTTGAGAGCATCCATTAGAAACAGAAACACCGTGTTATACTAATCACCTTTGCATGAGCAGTTTGCCTCTCCAGTAGATTACACATTGCAATAAAAAATGAACTCGCACAATTACTGTGTACTTTTCATCTTGTTTACCATGATACTGTAAACCTTGACTAACACCATAGGACTCATACAAAGTGCCACTGGCTGCTGGAAATGCTCCCAAGGAGAGATAAGCCATGACATTACAAGAAGCTAAATTGCTTGATATGCAGTCTAGGTTGCATAGACTTGATCTGCAGCTGTGGCTGCCTGCCACTTGAAGATAAATGAGTCCAGCGTGAGAACCAATGCAAGGCAAGAAAAGGAAATTGGTGAAGCCATCACCGAAGCTACACCAGTAGGTGTGAAAACCATGCAGTTTTTTGGAATGTTTTTTCATCTTGTGTTGAAAATGCAGCTTTTATGTGGGTGCAGCATTGCTATAAGAAAGACACACCAATAGACTCACAGGATTTGAGAAAAGGTGGTCATTATATGACAACTTAAAGCAAAATGAAGGTGAAGGATCTAAAAGCTGGTGAATTTAATGCCTGCAAAGGATGGCTGGTAATTTCACAAAGAGGTTTGGCTTAAAAAATGTCAAGATAACTGGACAAGCAGTTCTGCCCACCAAGAAGCAACAGATGAGTTCCCAGATGGCATTAAGAAGATCACTGAGGAGAAAGTACCTGCCTGAACAGTTTTTCAGTGCACACGGAAGTGCCCTAATCTGGAAAAAATGCCACAAAGGACACTTACTAATAAGGAAGAGAAGTGAGCACTAGGATTTATGGCAGAAAGGGACAGGCTAACTTTACTATTTAGTGCAAATATGGGTTTAATGATCAAACCTACCCTTATCTACAAATCGCTAATCACTGAGCCTTGAAGGGAAAACATACACCAGATGCCAGCCAAAAACCCTTTTTCTGGATGACACACTGATGCTCTGTTTCTGAAGGCAGGAAATACTTGCCAGTAAGGGACTTCCTTTTAACATTCTTTGAATAGTGGACGATATCCCTGGCCACTGAGAACCCTGGGAGTTCAACACCAATGAAATCAAAAAGGCTCATTATCCACAGTGCTCTATGGAAACGGTTGTCAATGCTAGGGAAGAGAACCCCGATAGAACATCATGAGGATCTGGAAGGATTACACTAGTGAAGATGCCTCAGCTGTTGCAGAAACAGCCATGAAAAGTCATCAACCCTGAACAATAAATTCCCACTGGAGAAAACTGTCCAGATGGTGCATGACTTCACAGGATTTTTGAGGAGCAAATCAAGGAAAACATGAAAAAGATAGTGGATGTGGCAAAAAAGGTCAGGGATGAAGGGTTAAGTTGTGGATCTTAGAGAATTTCAAAAGCAAGCAGACACCACAGCAGAGGAATGATGCAGGAGATGACCTGGGGGAGATAAATGCATCCACAACAGTGCCAGAGGATGGGCACAAAGAGGCAGAAGCAGCAACAGAAAACAAAGGGACATTAGACAATCTGGCAATGGAGTTCCAATTATGCAAGACTGCTCTGACTTCCTTACGATTGATATGGATCCTTCTGTGATACAGCACTGAAACTATAGCAAACACTGGAAATACGACTGGGACTATAAATATTTATAGAGAAATGAAAAAAGGAAAAAAATCAGATGGGGAATTTACAATGTATTTCGATAAAGCATACCTGCCTCCCTTCCTCCCCTTCTACCTCCTCCATGACCCAAGACAGTAAGATCAACAGACTACTAAGATGAAGTCCTGTATGATGACCAACTGCACTTAATGGTCAGTAATCACTATGTTGTACAGTTAATGGACCTACCTGTTGTGTGTATACTTGTGAGTGTCTTGGTGTTAAATTAACCACACGACAAAAATTGTACAAGGCATTTTTGGTCATCAGAATCACCATCACCTAAGTATTCATCACATAGAACACTGGGTGCAAGACCTGTATAGAACTGAACAGCCTATTCTATCCTTACAGGCATAAGGCGAGTAACATTTAATGTAACATGAATCATGTTAGTGTTCTTTCTTTTTTTATATTAAAGTATAATTGATATACAATCTTGCCAAGGTTTCACATGAGCAACACTGTGCTTGCTATATCCACCCATATTATCAAGTCCCCCCAAAACACCCCACAGCAGTCACTGTCCATCAGTGTAATAAGATGCTGGAGTCACTACTTGTCTTCTCTGTACTATATGCCTTCCCCGTAAAAACCCTACATTACATGTGCTCATCAGGATACCCCTCAATCCCCTTCTCCCTCCCTCCACACCCATGCTCCACCACCCCTCCCCTTTGGTAACCGATAGTCCCTTCTTGGAGTCTGATGCTGCTTTGTTCTTTTAAATGAGTGAAATCATTTGGTACTTGTCTTTCTCTGCCTGGCTTATTTCACTGAGCATGATACCCTCGAGCTCCATCCATATTGTTGCAAATGGTAGGATTTGTTTACTTCTTATGGCTGAATAATATTCCATTGGGCATATACCACCTCTTCTTTATCCATTCATCTACTGATGGACACTTAGGGTACTTCCACATCTTAGTTATTGTAAATAGTGCTGCAATAAAAATAGGCATGCATGTGTCTTTCTGAATCTTGGACCTAGTTTTCTTTGGGTAAATTCTTAGGAGTGGTAGTCCTAGGTCAAATGCTATTTCTTTTAGTTTTTTTGAGGAAGCTCCATATTGCTTTCCACAATGGTTGAACTAATTTATATTCCCACCAACAGTGTAGGACGGTTCCCCTTTCTCCACTTCCTTGCCAGCATTTGTAGTTTCTTAATCTTTCAGATATTGGCCATCCTAACCAGTGTGAGGTGGTTTTGATTTGCATTTCCCTGATAATTAGCAATGTGGAACATCTTTTCATGGATCTGTTAACCATGTGAATTTCTTCTTTGGAGAAGTGTCTGTTCAGATCCTTCACCCATTTTTTAAAGGGATTATTTTATTTTTGGGTTTTGAGGCATGGAGCTTATTTGGATGATAACCCCTTATCGGATATCTCGTTTAAAAACATATTATCCCATATTGTAGGATGCCATTTTGTTCTTGGCTTTGCTTTACAGAAGCTTTTTACTTTGATGTACTCCCATATGTTCATTTTTTTTTGGTATCATTAATGTACAATTACATGAGCAACACTATGGTTATTAGACTTCCCCCATTCCAAGTCTCCACCACATACCCCAATACAGTCACTGTCCATCACCATAGTAAGATGCTATAGAATCACTACTTGTCTTTTGTGTTGTACAGCCTTCATCGTACCTCTCCCCACATTATGCGTGCTAATCTTACTGCCCCTTATTCCCCTTATCCCTCCCTTCCTACCCACCCTCCCCAGTCCCTTTCCCTTTGGTAACTGTTAGTCCATTCTCGGGTTCTGTGAGTCTGCTGCTGTTTTGTTCCTTCAGTGTTTTCTTTGTTCTTGTACTCCACAGATGAAATCATTTGATACTTGTCTTCTTCCGCCTGGCTTACTTCACTGAGCATAATACCCTCTAGCTCCATCCATGTTGTTGCAAATGGTAGGATTTGTTTTCTTATGGCTGAATAATATTCTGTTGTGTATATGTACCATATCTTCTTTATCCATTCATCTACTGATGGAGACTTAGGTTGCTTCCATTTCTTGGCTAATATACATAGTGCTGTGATAAACATAGGGGTGCATATGTTTTTTTCAAACTGGGCTCCTGCATTCTTAAGGTAAATTCCTAGGAGTGGAATTCTTGGGTCAAATGGTATTTCTATTCTGAGTTTTCTGAGGAACCTCCATACTGCTTACCACAATAGTTGAACTAATTTACATTCCCACCAGCAGTCTAGGAGGGTTCCACTTTCTCCACATTCTCGCCAATATTTGTTGTTGCTTGTCTTTTGGATGGTGGCCATCCTGACTGGTGTGAGGTGATATCTCATTGTGGTTTTAATTTGCATTTCTCTGATGATTAGAGATGTGGAACATTGTTTCATGTACCTGTTGGCCATCTGAATTTCTTCTCTGGAGAACTCTCTTCAGCTCCTCTGACCACTTTATTGAATCATTTGCTT